GCGCCCCTGGCTGGGGGGAACAGGGAGATGCTGCAGTTCCATCTGCGTCCCGTGGTGGTCACAGAGGGGTGTGAGGCTGGCTCGGGTGTGGGCCTGGTCCTCGTCGTGGGAATGTACAGAAACAACTACAAGGCAGGCCAGCGGTGGTGGTGGGGGATGTCACAGGAGCGGCAGGTCCCGTGCTCTGAGCATTCAGAGTGGTGGCTGGGCCCTGAAGGACAATTGGAGGCTCCAGCAGGAATCAGCGAAGACAAAAGCACAGGTCCCTGTCACTCTGGAAGAGCAGTTTTCCGGAGGGGAAACCAGCCAAAGGGGAGGAGGGAGGAGGGAGGAGGGAGGACTGCCCCAGCCTGGCCACTCTGGCAGGTTAGCAACTGCCAGAGGGCAGGGACAGTTGCTGTCTTGCCCGACACCTACCTGGAGTCCTTGGGGACTTCCTGGCTGGCCCTGGCTGAGGAGGAACCAGATGTTTGGGGCTGACTGTCCCGCCCACCCGCCCCCTAGCTCCCTGACCTCCGCTGCGCTTCTTCCCAAGCTTGGCTCCTTGGCAAACTCCTGTTTTTCCTTCAAAGTTCTGCTCAAGAGTCGTCTCCTTCAGCTGTCCTTGCCCCGAGGGACTGTGCATTCTTTGAGACAGCTGGACTTGTGTCGCTCCATGACTTCATTTTATGAACCTAGGAGGCCACTTCTAGGGAACCCTACCTGTTGGTTCCAGTCTCCCTCTGGTCCCAGAGGGTAGGATGCGCACTTGAGCACTGTCTCCCCGCTCGCCACCTTCCTGGGTGGCAGTGCTACAAGTGTCCCAACATGTGGCCCAGGGGTTTTAATTTCCCAGAAAGGTTTTTTGTTAGTTTCTTTGTTTTTCTTTTTTGGTTTACAACACATCCCACTTTAATTTGCCCTTTGAACATTCACAGTTTCAGGCCTCTCTGGGCCTCAGTTCCTTTGTCTCTAAAACGGGGATAATAATACTTGTTCTTCCTGCCTCCAGCTCCTGCAGGGGAGCCTCGCAGCCAGCAGGCGCCCTGCAAGTCTTCCCTGCACAAAGCGAGCAGGCGAGCAGGGCCTTTGCTGGGGACTGGTGAGCAGAGAGAGAAGGAGAAAGGCCAAAAATACCTGGCCTCTCCCTAGGGGAGACAGAAATGGCACGTGGACCTTGCCTGGAGCAGAAAGGTAGAATTGTCACTGTCAACCCTCACCACTAAAGGTCTGGGGTGTGTGTCTTTCCGCTGGTGGCGTTTGGGAGAGCTGCCTGTTGAGGCCCCAGTAGGGTCTGGTTGCAGTAGGGAGTGAGCCCAGGTGAGGAGTGGGAGGAGCCAGCGGTCAGTAGGTAAAAGCAGGTGTTTACCCCGTGGGACGGTCAAGGGCTGGGAAGCTGTGAGAGCGAAGGGGAGGGCGGAGGTGAAGCTTTCCCCAGCGTCCCCTCCCACAGCTGTGCCGGGAAGAGCCTGGGCTCTGGGGTCCCGGGTGGCAGAGGACAGAAGGGTGTGCACGTGAGCGTGTTCTCCCCACTCGCACCTTCCTGGTTGGCAGTGCTGTGAGTGTTCCAGGATGTGGCCTGGTGGTTTCGATTTCCTTTCTTCCACCTAGTGATAACAATGGCCACTGTTTGCGTGCCCACGGTCAGCCAGCATCCCAGACACCGTCCCTGCCTTGCGTCATTTCATCCTCACGCCCCTCCTGGAAGGCTGGAAGCCGGCCAGGTCTGTCCTTTCCATGGCCACGCTGCCATACGTGTGCTGGGACACTGAGGAAGGGTCTCTCCTCTGGGATGTGGGGAATCTTCCTGGGTGCAGCTGCACCCCACGGTGACCTTCTGCCACCCTGGGGCTCGTGGGTGCCGGACGCTCCTGATTCCCTGCCCTTCCCGGGAGCATCTGCGGGTGCTGCCCTCCGGATGCCTCTGCTGCTTCTCTAGGCCAGGCCTGGCCCCCTGGGGTCCCCATCTCCCTAGCTGCAGCACCCCTGGGGCCCAGCCTAGGCTGCTACTTTCTTTGAAACTTATAATCACTTTTTATACCATTAGGAAAATAGGAGAAAGAAAAAAAATGGCCATAAACCCAGTACCCTCATCTACTCCGTATTTTAGTATGTTTTTATCAGTCTTTTCCCCTGTGTATCATATGCACTTAGTCAAATTCTGTTTTAACAAATTTTCTTTGTGCCAAGCTTTGGCCTTGGGGTGAGTGTGTGGAGATGAAAGCAGCTGCCCTTAAGCAGCTCGGACTCTGGAGCCAGCCCATCTGGGCTCCAGTCCTCACCCCTCCACCTGCTAGCTGTGTGACCTCGGGCACGTTACTTTACCTCTCTGTTCCTTGGTTTTTTTTTCTTTTTTTGCCACAGAAGAAACTTTTACTAATATATAGTAATTTCATACTTTAGGTCTAAATCATCAATATTAAAAAGTTCAACTATTAGAAGATAATTTAATAATACATTCAATGTTCTTAATATGTATTGCCACAATGTCCTTCTTAAATTTTTTGTGTCGTATTTCATGTCCACCTATAATATGTTAATGTCAAATTCACCAAAACTTTGCTAACATTTATTCTTATTGTTTTAAAATTTACCATAGTGAAAGGCAAAGTCATGACAGAAAAAAAAAATGTTCCTTGGTTTTCTCCTGTGAAATGGGGACAGTAATGGTAACCATCTCGTAGGGTGGCTGTGTGGAGGAAATGATGAATTTACGTAAAACTCTCAGAATCGCGCCAGAGCACAGGAAGAGCTCAGGAGGTTGGGCGCTGTGACAGCAGGAGGGGCAGCTGTGACCCACGGGGGTGTGACAGCAGAGGTGTGTTTACACTGAGGGCAGCACAGAGCAAGGAGAGGGCACGGGGATGGGGACGGTCTACCGAGAACATTTTAAGGAGAACGTGAGAACCGGGCTTGGATTTGAAGAAGGCTCGGGGCTTTTTCAGACAGAAGAGGGGAGGAAAGGGTTCCAGATGGATGTGTCACCGAGAGATGTCACTAAGCCTTGTAGTAGGACAACGTGAGCTTTGCCTGGGTTGTTCTGCTCTTCACAACCACAACTTGTAAGGACCACACGGTGTCTCTGGGGCAAATGTATCATAATTTACCGTTCTCCTAACGTTGAATTTCAAAGTTGCTTCCGTTTCCGTGGCATAACAAAGACTGTTGCGGGGAACACTGATGTGTGTACCAGGCCTTCCACTTTGGGGAGTTCTTCTCCTGGGACCGATTGCTATGCCTTCCCTTGGGGTCTCTCCCCTCTCCCCTGGCTATGGAGGGGGCCACAGGTACCCCAGCTTCTCTGTCCTTGTAGCCCCCAAGTGCAGAAGAAAGAAGGAAGCTTGGCACAGGCGCAAGTATTCTCACAAGTGTTCTCATTTAATCCTCACGGTATGTGGGAGATGAGTATCATCCCCATTTTAAAGCAGGAAAAAACTGAGGCTCGCAGTTTTCTCACACTAATCTCTCACTACTAATCATAAAAGGAAGAACATTACAAAGCTTCAGAATGTTTTCGGAGTTCTGCAGTCATGGTTCTCTAAGCCTCAGTTGCCTTATCTATAAAAGGGGGATGATCCAAGTAAAGAGAGCTAATGTTTATTGAACATTTACTATCTGCCGTGTGCTGTTATTAGGCACTGTTATGGTCCCTATGTTACAGATGAGGAAACTGGGACACAGAGAGGTTAAGGAACATGCCCAAGGTCACACAGCTGGGATGTGCACCTGGGATTTGAATGTGGTCTGGCTCCAGATCTACCCTGTGCTGCAGTGCACCCGCCTCATGTGGTTTTGTGAGATCAAATGAGACAGTCACATAAAGTGCTTAGCTCATTTTTGTCTTTCTTCTGTCCTCAAGGTTGATCCTCTGCTCAACATGTGGGCCAGGGCAGAATTAGGCTGTGAGCTAGTGTCCACTCGGAGGTTCACTGTCCCCCAGGGCCCATGCACTCTGTCCTCGGTGTCTGACATGCTGTTTCGTTTTTTTTTTTTTTTGGAGACAGAGTCTTGCTTCGTTACCCAGGCTGGAGTGCCGTGGCCTCATCGTAGCTCACTGCAACCTTGAACTCCTGGGTTCAAGCAATCCTCCTGCCTCAGTCTCCCGAGTAGCTGGGACTATAGGCGTGGGCTACCATGCCCAGCTAAGTTTTCTATTCTTTGTGGAGATGGAGTCTCGCTCTTATTCAGGCCGATCTCGAGCTCCTGAGCTCAAGCAATCCTCCCGCCTCAGCCTCCCAGAGTGCTAGGATTATAGGCGTGAGCCACCGCGCCCTCCTGACAAGCGCATTTGTCAGGTGATGTCCTGGCACAGACAGAGGGCAGCCTCGGCTGATTGTCACCTGGCTTTGGTGGCAGTGCCCTAGGAAGACTGTGCTTTCTGGGAACCCGGGAAATAACAAGATATCTAATTCTGTCATCTAAACTGGGAACAGTTTCTATAGCAGAAACTATGACTCTGGATATGCAGCGTAAAATTACACCCAGACACGCCACTGTTTCTGAGACCTCACACTCACACTCATTTGCAAGGAGCTTGCTTTCGTGTTCTCTCTCAGCTCTTCGGGAAACCAGTGGTGGCTGGCAGCAAAAGATTTACGCAAACGCTGACCATCCCCTTTCCCCAGGCAGAGTATATGATCCTGGTAGCCTCTTGGTTTCTAGTGGAGAAGGGACGCTGATTTTGCTTGTGGAATTGAAATGGCCCATGCCGAGCTCTTTGTGTGCCAAAAAATCGTCTCTACACCTTGCGTGTGAGGACCCCTCCACTTGCCCAGGGCGCAGCTGCCCGTAACGTGTGTTCACATCTGCTGTGCCCTCTGATCAATGCAGCTCCACCCCACCGATGAGGAAACTGAGTCTCCGTTGGGAACACGGGGTTGGGGGCAGGCAGTAAGGTCACCTGTGCACAGTGGCAGCACAGGAGGGCAGCTGTCTAGGTGCCCCACATGGCCTGAGGACTCTGTCACTTCTTACCTTCCACTCAGTGTCGTTTCTCTTTCTGTCCCCTCCTCTTCAGGTCCTGCCAGGCCCAGCGTCGGAAGACAGCGCTGGTGGGGAGCAGTCTGGGTGTCTGTGCAGGAAACTGCTGCACTTGGTGAGGTGGGCATGGGAGACCGAGCCCGGCTGACCAGAGACCCCGTTTTCTTCCAGACTGAGGGGGAAGGCGGTGGGGCCTCCCCACCTGCCCCACAGAAGATGCAGTTCTTCGGCCGCCTGGTCAATACCCTCAGTAGCGTCACCAACTTGTTCTCTAACCCGTTCCGGGTGAAGGAGGTGGCTGTGGCTGACTACGCCTCGAGTGGCCGGGTTCGGGAGGAAGGGCAGCTGATTCTGTTCCAGAACACTCCCAGTCGCACGTGGGACTGCGTCCTGGTCAACCCCAAGAGCTCACAGAGTGGATTCCGGTGGGTGATGACGAGCTGGGCCACGTACTTCTTTCCTTGACCCCCAGACCTCGCTGGAGGTCCCGTGGCCAAGAAGCAGCTTCTTTGGGTCGCCCTCTGAGGGGCGTGGACAGGGCAGGGCAGAGGGGAGACTCTACTCTTAGAGTGGGGGGTGGGGCTCCTAGACACCACACCTCTGGCCCATCAGGGTCCCAGCGCAGGGGCTCGGGATGGAAGGCTGGGGTGTTCCCACCGGGGCTCGGCCTGCGCAGAGCACGGGAAGGAGGAAGGACAGAGAGGTGAGAGGGGCAGATCAGGCAAGGCCCACTGGGATGACCTTTAGCCCTTGTCCTTACAGGCACCGCTGTCCTCAGAGGGGCTGGGTTGTTCGGAAGGGCCTGTAAGGGTTGGACAGAGCTGTCACTTCTCAGGCCATGCTGGGGCTGCCTGGGGCCAGAAGGGAAGAGTAGGGAGCCAGGACAGGGCTGCAGGAACTGGGCCAGCTGCAGAGCTGGTTGGGAACCGGGGAGAGCAGCAGCAAGGCTCCAGTGCGGGCTCCTGCCGGGCAGACTGGTGTCAAGTTGGGCTCACACCGATATCCCTTTTCTGCTTGCTCCTCCATCTGGCTGTCGCGCCAGCCACCCATCCAACACGCATCTAGCACCTCCAGTGTCTCCTGAGTCTCGGGCTCTGGGCCAGGCCCAGCTGGCGCTGTGGGATGGCAGATGTGGCCTGTGTCTTTAAGGAACGTGCAGTCTGGAGGGAGCAGCCCCTGCAAACAGGGATTGTAGCACCTGAGCACGTGAGGAGTGCTCTGACAGAGGTAGAGCCCAGGGAACAGTGGGGACCACAAGACGTGATCGGGAGCTATTCTGCGTTGGGAAAAATGAGGAGAGCCTGTCTGGCAGAACAAAGTGGATAAGGTCGTTCCAGCCACGCAGAGGCGTGAGGTGTGAGCCTGGAGGCAGATGGCTCTGGCCGGACCCTAGCTGCTTCCAGGGCTTTGGTGAGAGATGAGGCTGGGGGGACGGCAGGGGCGCACTCTGACTGAAGAGGCGTGGCAGCAGGCGTCTCTGCAGGTGGCAAGCTGGGGGCCAGGGCCCGCCTCTAGGAGAAGAACAAGGCAGAGATCAGGGCTCCAGCCAATCAGGTGAGATTTCAGAGCCTGGCTGCACAAGGAAACTGAGGCAGAGGCACCCACAGCACACACTTGGGCTAAGAATGCAGCTCAGCAGCCAGTCCAGAAACCAGTTTTAACACGACAGGACCAGTCCAAACTCTGAGTGCCGAAAGGCCCGTGCTGGCCGCCCTCCAGCTGGCATGCGTGGGGCCAGCCTGCACCTGCCGCTCCAGGACCCTCCTGCAGTCCTGCACCCAAGGCCTGCTGGGAAGACAGAGCTGGCCAGGGCGCTAGGTCCACTCCTTGGAGGGCCACTCAGCCCCACTTTTGAGATGCTCTGCCCTGGGAATGCCACCACCCTCCACATGCAAATCATCACCAAGTCCTGTCCATTGTTAATATTTCTTGCCGGGATTCCAGATTTGTCTCAGTCTGCTTGAGTGCCAGTGTAGGCAGACCTCTGTCCCGGAGGTCCAGTCCTTTGCCAACAGTCTGTTAGCTGCACCTAAGCCAGGCCTGCCCTTAATTGGACAGTGCTTTCTAGTTTGCAGAATGCTTTTCCCTGTGTTATGTTAGCACATCCTCTACCGACCCATGGAGGTAGGCAAGGAAGGCAGCGTCCCATCTTATGGATGAGAAAACCGAGGCCTGGGGATGACGAGTGATGCATGCCAGGCTGCACAGAAAGCAGTAAAGAAACAGAATTTGTTCCCTGCTTCCCAATCCGTTTCCTGTCTGTGCTGCTGTGTTGTTTCCACATATTTAGGCAGAATAAGGAGCATTGGGTGGGGTTTCAAGCTAAGCACATTCTCTCCTCTCAAAACTCCTGTCATCCTTAACTTGGCTCTGGAGTCTCTTTTGTCTTCCCTTCCCTAACCTGCTCCCACCCAAGCATTTCCATTTAAGCAAATGGCATCATCCTAGATGGCTGCGCCAGATCCAGCCATCACACCCACCTTTCCAGCCAGTGGGAAGGTGGAAGGGCAGGATGAAGAAGGGCATGCTCCTTCTCTTTAGGGACATTTCTTGGAAGCTGTACACATGCCTTCCACCTAATTCCCACTGGCCAGAACTCGGTCACATGGCTATAGCTAGCCACAAGGGAGGCTGGGAAGTGTTGCCTGTATTCCAGACAGCCACGTGCCAGTCTGAAACCTGAGGTTGTGTCACTGTCCATTTTGCTGATGGCGATCTTCTCCAGGCTGTGGTCATCGTACACACGGACTCTGCTACACTGAGCCCTCTGGCCTGTTGCTCGGCCTGTGGTCTTGCTCTCCTCTCCTCCTCTTCCGAGCTGCTGTCACAGTGCTCTTTCCAGAGGACAGATGTGATCAGTCACTCCCATGCTTAACTGTTCAAGGGCTTCCTGTTTCCTTAACACATCAGGTGCTTAATAGGCCTTAGAGGGGCCTGTGTGATCCAGCCTCGTCTCTCTGGCCTCAGCTCATGCCACACTGTGCCCCAACCTTTGCCCAGGCTCTTCCCTTCGTCTAGAATGTGTCCCCTTCCTTTGCCTGGTGCCCTCTGCTTGCCCTCTCCTGACCTGCGGGCTTGAGGGGGTGCTTCTGCCGTGTGTCCCCAAGGCACCCCACCCTTGCAGTGCATAACCTGCCTTCCCAGAAGGCCACAGACCCCCCTGAGAGCAAGACCTGTGTCTGCAGTGTGTGGAGAGAGGGCCTGGTGCACTAGACTTCCTCTTCAGGTGCCTTTACATGTCTGCTCCCCCTTTATTTCCCTGGGGGGCTTTGGACTGTCCCTAAAGTACTTTAAGTGTGTTAGAGTAGATACCAAGGTCCTGCCACCTTGTCAGGCTGCAGGTGGAGGTGTTCTGTCGCTCTGTCGCTGCCGTGAGCCATCAGGCTTAGCTTCTGCATGGGGGATGGAATTGGGTCTCCTGAATTCTCGGGTTTTATTCCTGAAGGCTGCTGGGTGGAGAGACTGGACACTGGCTGATAAGGTGGCGCCAGCGGCAGTGGCATCCGCAGTCCCTTAGTGCATACTGCGTGCTGGCACTAGTTAACTCATTCTATCCTCACAACAGTCCCAGGAGGCAGGGGTTGGGAGCCCCCTCGCAGGTGAGGAACACCGGCTTGCAGAATTTGAGTAACTTGCCTAAGGTCGCACGGCTGGTCAGGAGCAGAGTTACTTGAGCTCCAGCACCTGGCTCTGGACCCCACCATCTTCCCTTTCTGACACGAGGGCCACATTGCAGTGTGGCGAGCTGGGTGGGGCTCCGCCCCCTGGGCTGACCCTGGGCCCTCCCCGCCTGACATATGGCACAGGGCCCTGGCTCTTCCGGCGTGAGCCCCCGGACAGTTGCTTGTGGCATTGCTGTGTACATTATGATAGCATCAGTACTTCCGTTCCTGGTACAAATTAATCATTTACTGCTGGTATTTACTTGTAACGTATGACATTTGATGAAACCGGCAAGCCTCTCACTGGTATCTCAGCAGAGACGGGGCTGGACCTCCCAGGAGTCCTGATCGATACCTCCGTACCCTTCATAAAGGGAACTAACTTTCAAGGCCATCTGGACTGGGACTTTGCCCCGAAACTGCTTTTCAGGAAACCTCAGACAGGCAGAGTGGCCCGTGTCTGGGCCACCCTCCTGGGGCTTTGCACCTTCTTCCGTTTATCGGGCCGTGGCCCATCTTTGCAGAGCAGAGCTGAAAACGGCAGGTCTCTGCCCTCAGGGAGCTCAGGCAGGAGCCGGAGAGGGCGGGTCTGTTCATGAGATGTTCATGAGATGGATGTTTTGATGGGAGCGTGGGCAGCTCTTACGTTCCCCAAACAGGCCTCGCCCCTTGACACGCCTTTCTCTGCTCTGCCTTTTCCTCTGCTAAGAATGCCTTTCCCTGAGTCCTTCCCCATGCGCCGCTCCCTGCCCCACAGGCCTGTCCTCGTTCCCCCTCAGCCATCCACACTCCCAAGCAGCCCCTCTTGCCTCAGGTTGCCGTGTGTCCGCTTCCCTGTCTGTTTCCCACCCTGGGCCGCAGCGCTCCCAAGGGGCAGGGCCTGTGCCAAGTCCCTCTGTTCCTAATGCCAGGTGTCAGGCCAGGCGCTCTGTAAGTGCACGGTAGATACCTGTTCTCCGTTCACATGAACGAATCCATGATCGCTGAAGGTTAAGTGCGTGTGACGGGAGGGACTGGGAAGGGCCCCGCGAGGGTAATCGGGGTAGAGATGGACCTTAGGGGTCTGGAGGACTCCACCAGGGGAAGGCACGAGGGGAAGGGCCCTGCAGGGAGAGGACACGTCACAGGCGAAGACCTGGAGGGGTGGGGAGTGGGGGCCCTTTGGAGACTCTGTGGGGAAGGAAGGGCTTGTACTGGGCTTTGAAACAGGAAAGTTAGACGTCTCTCCGGCCTGGGGGTGCTTGCCCATTTTTTGGCCCAGGAGTCCCTTAAGAGTCCCACAGGAATGTGGACAGGCTCACACTGCCACTTTGAAGAGGTTCACAGACCCCCTAAGACTTATCTGCAGACCCCTCCCACCAAGACAGAGGCAGAGGCTTCTCGGCGTGGGTACCAGTTGGCTTTTGTCCGGACTTCTGGAAGAGAGGGAGGAGACACACACCTCCGTGTTCCTCCAGGTCTTCGGCCTTCTCCCTGACTCTTTCTCCTCCTTGCTCCAGCCCACACCTGGCTGTCCCCTAAGGACACTGCTTCCTGTGCAGCCCTCTCTGGGCACTGGAGTAGGGTCGTCCTTACCCGCATTCTCAAATCTCACGTCATCCTACGATGTCGCCCACTCTCAATCCTGGGGCGGGCATCTGTGACCTTGGGGTACTCCCCCACACCCCCAAAGATATGAGCCCTCAACTCCGTGTGGCCTCTGGTTCCTGGCCTCTCCTCATCCACTCGGCTATGCGCCGGACCTCGTCTTCACCAGTGACAGC